TCTTATTAAAAAAAGTTAAAAATCTTTAAATTTATTAAAAATATTATAAATATCATAAAATTTTCTTTTCATAACTTGATTTGAAAACTTTTTATTCAGAAATAACATACACTCCCCATCTTAGCCTTCAATATAAAATAATGGTTTTAATACTTAATATTAAATATTAATATTTATTATTAAAAGTATTATTTCTCTTTTATACAAAGAATATAACAGTAAAAATACTTTAATTAGATTTTAACATTTTTATAAATAATTATACTATCTTTTCCCCCATAACGAAACCTATACGGGTGACTACATTTAAGTATAAACAAAAAAATAAATTTAATAAAAATAACTTCAAGAACAAAAACAAAACAACACGTAGCAAACAAATAAATCATTACATTATCAATAAAATTACAACAAAATAAACAAACTTAGTAAAAAAAAACGCAATAAAATCATCAATTACAATAGTTTTTACACAAATTATATGTCATAATTATTCAAATTATTCATTGTACATATATTTCGATGTAGTCGTCATCATCATCATCATACTCGTCGTTGTCGTAGTTGTCGTTTTACACAACAACCCTTTTTATTCATTAATAAAAGATTTCAATTAAATGATATTGAACGAAAGGAACAAAATAACAGCAACAACACCAAATGTTACCCTGACACCACTGACTAGGAGGAGCATTACAGAAATAAAAGTACATTTTGAGTGTAAATTGTGTCTCTATGTGTGTGTGTGTGTGCCCACTACTAAGTATTGGAAAACGAAGGGTAGAAATATGGAAACAATATTCATATTTATCTGATCAAATGGGGAAAAAACTTTGTTTTTTTTTTTTTGTTTTTCTATATAAAATGTGTGACAGCTAAAATATTGTTTAAACAAAAGCATTACCAATGAGTGGGTATTTGTAACAATTATAGAGAAAAACAGTTAAAAAAGTTTTCAATGATTTTTCTTTTATTCCTATGACATTTAGGGAAATCAATTAAATTATTAATATTAAACATTTTTTTATCGCAATTTTCCGTTTCCATTATACAAGGATTTTTTCTCATAATTGATGGAGTCGTTAAAATAAAACTATTAATTAGAAAGAAATTTCACTAGTTTAAGTGAAAGGTTTTAAAAAATGTCGGTTATTTCATGTTCAAACACCTGCTCACTTAAAACATTCTAGGTTTTAGGAAAAAGGGTGAGTTGAAAATTCCCCAGAGAAAACGATTGTATTATAAATATTTTAGAGGTTATAAAAGCTATTTGTATGTTGTTATTGTAAAGTAAAATTTTCCATTCCTAATTTTAACAAATTATACATTTTAAAGGAAAACTTCCAATAAAAAATGAACTTAATATAAACATGCATATTGCTAATATAGAAATCTCAAAACCCCTGGAAAAAGGTTTCAGAATATGTTCTAAAATAACTGTTATAATGTAGAATATATGCCAAATCACTTCCGATCCTTGAATATCAATAGTGGAACTAGTGATATCAGTATTAATTCAGGAACTCGTAACTAAATTACTTCTAAAAGTTTCGAAGAAATAGTTAACAGTTCTGAAACAACTTTTTGAAAAAAAGATGACAAATGATGAATATAAATGCATTCTGAAATGTCGGTAAAGATTTGAACAAGATTAAACTGGTTGATATTTTCACAATGTGAAATATTGAACTAAGTAGTATAAAACTTTACCTAAGATTTTGCATTTGTTTCCCTAGAACTAACAGCCAAGATAAAAGTTCCAAAAATCTTTAGTCTAAAATAAGCTTAATGACCCTTCTGTGAATCGACTATCAAAAATGCAATGTTTTGTAGAAGCCTTTTCAAAGCTAACAAATTAGAACGAGAATCAAGTAACTATTTCTAGAACGATTCTGTAAAACGAAGGGTTCTGTAAATAGAACTAGTCATAAGTTAGCAATTTCGAACAAAAATCTTTCATCTCAACCTCAGACCAGAACGTGTTTCAGACAATAGGCTAAAATTGTAGACTTTGTTGCAGAAAATATTTATTTAAAATATTTGATAACGATTCTTTTTAATAAAAATATATACTTTTAAAAATTTTAGATATTTGTTATCGCCTTGAATAATAATAAGGAATATAATCTGAGAAATTATCTCAAAAACTTAGACCCTACTAACAAAACAGAATATAGTCTCTGGAAAGCTGTTATGCAATATACAATGCCTTATTGCATATGAGTCACCCATACGCCTCCAGAATGGTCAATGGGCCAGAAATACGTCAGTAAAAATCGAAGCATTCACCAATCACTTGAAGAATGTGTTTACTGAAAATGATACAGATTCTTCTATTAGTGCTAACATTATAAATAATATGGTTCCACGCCCAATAAAATTCCGGTTCTCTACCGTGAAGAAGACAACTAAAGGCAGGAAAATTACATGGTATAGATAAAATTACTACCACGATGATAAATAACCTGCCCAATTCACCACTGGAACCTCATGGAAAATATCCGAAATTGTTATGATACCAAAACCGGGGAAAGATGTCATTCAAGTGACATCATACCGTCCCATTAGCCTGTTGTCTATATTCTCAAAACTTTTTGAAAAGTTATTGCTTGAAAGCCTTATAGTACACCTTAACGATAATTGCATTATTCCTGATCATCGGTTTGGTTTCAGAAGAAAGCACAGCACTATCGAACAGGTACATCGAATAACTACTCTTATTCGGAAGGCCTTCGAGAGCAAGCAATATTGCTCAGCACATAAACTAGTCTAAAGATAAGTTCACATTCAATCTTTCAAAATTTGATATGATTAACTTTCAATAGAAGAGATCATATTATATGATCTACAATTACGTGATAGAAAAAACATTTTTCTTAAAATAGAGTTTACGTTTTTTCGTTAAATATTTTATATATATGTACATATGCGAACATATTTTGAGGATACTAATTCCGTTTTAGATCGAATTTTAATGATAATTTTTGAGTCGCATTAGTTTAACAGATTAGTAAAATTTTAACACATTTAACACTGATCATTGAAGTGATATACATCCTATTTTTTACCAGTCATGGGAGCAGGTAGTTAAGGAAGTAAGAAGTGCAAGTCATGCACAATTTAAAAAGGTCGAAATTTCATTCTCATGCAAAACAAAATGATTATTATTATTGTTGCTGAGTCATGTGCGATACAAATTAAAAATGTGATAACATTTGGCACCTTCCAAGTGTCGATTTAAGCAGATCGGAAAATAAATGTGAAAAAGTAAAGACTTTTGAGCATAATTAGAGGTTTAGCTAAAAATAATATGAGACCAAATTACCGCATTTGTGATCGAGTATTATTTGATTGGTAGTGGGGGCACAAAGCACAACGACCTGAGAAAAGATCTTTTGTGCAGCCCTTTGCTTTACCATTGGAGATTAAGTTTACGTATGAATCTTAAAGTTTTAGACGGTTGGAGATTGAATATTTCATTAGGCGATACAAATGCGCCTTCTAGAGTACTCGCTCTGAGAGGCCATAGTGGCTGACAGTAACAAAGTACATGTTCGGAGGTTTCATCCTGTAGTTCACAGAATCTGCATAACCTCCTCACATTGTTGCCAAGAATGTTCTGGTGGTATCTTAGTCCACAGTGTCCATTATAAAGTCCCATTAGTAATCTTAGGTCACTCTTGTTAAGCGACAATAACTTTTGGGATTTACCTTTGTTTAGCGTTATGAAGCTTTTTGCCTATTTATCCTTTTTTCCCTATCCACATTTTCCCTAATGTATCCTTTGGGGAAAGCAAAATGGGAGCCGAGCGCCAATATTTGTCAGACAATCTGCCAAAGTGACCTTCATGGCCGGATACCCAAGTTTGGTATGTCTACCCAGTTCATTTAGAGACATTAGACAGTCAAGTACGACAACCGACCTGATTTCAAGGGCCGCTTGACTATCCGACTTCACGAATATTTTTAAGTGATCGAGTAAGATTGATCATTATTATCTTTTTGAGATGATGGCGTTAAATATCGAAAAAAATTCAAATATATTTTATCTTCTATATTCCTGTTTTTTTCTTCGTCGATTTTAAACCCCAAGATCTTATAAGAAATCAGAAATATGTTTAATTTTTAGATCCATTTTGTATATGGTCCAATACTTTTGGCCACTTAATGAAATATTAAGTTTGCAAGAATTTGATTTACACTTCATTATTAAAAATAATGTATTTTGTTTTAAAATCATTTACCGATTTTCTAACAATTGAAGTTTGAACTTGAAGAAATTAAAATTTCCCGGATCTGATACATAAGTGGTTGCACATATTTCAACAAGTTTTTTAAATTAAATATTCTTCTACAAATTTTTGCAAAAAAGGATTTGAATAAAAGTTAAGTTTTAAAAATAAAATATTTGCAATCTTTTAACAAAAACCTCAAGGACCTTTATTTAAAATGATTGTCTAAAAATCTAAACAAGAAAAAATATCAAAAAAACTGCTCTTGTCTTTACAAGGACTTTTATTTAAAATTGTTGTAGAGTTTGATAAGTATTTTTCTCAAATTCAGTAAGGTCGAGGTCAGTTTAGGAGGAAATAGAAAATTTTTAAAATTTTATTTCTAATTGAGAATTTTACAAGGACTTTATAGATATTTTAAAGATAATTTAAAAACTTGTATTATATTGGCAGCTTATTTATTGTCTGCCAAAAAGTAGATTGAAAAAAATAACAAATATTTTTCCTCAATTTTTAACTTTCCAGTGTAAGTTGAAATTGGAAAAAGACGAAGGTGGCTGGTTGGTTGGCTGTGTTTTAAGCAGCAAAAAACATACTTTGCAACCAACAAATTTTCGGCAACAGTAAATTTGTAAAAAAAAAAAGAAACAATTGGAATTTTATTTTATGCTCTTCTAGAGCAGCAGGCAGGTTAATCGATAAGCTTTTTAGATATATTTTTCTTGTTTTTTTTAAGAAATATGTTTTTAAAATATTAAACCAACTTACCTTTAAAGGCTGCTCCATTTTTGTATAGTTGTTGTTAAAAGAAGACGTTATATTTTGAAAACACAAAAATGAATGTTGCTAACTTTAGTTGCCAAAATTTTAAACATGGAAAGAAGCTGTTATTCCGTTTAAAACAAAATATATCCAAAATTTTACAAGTTACAAGTCGGAGTGTCTGAAAAAAGTAAACTTTTTCAATTTCGGTTCGTTTTTTTTTATTTTTTATTTTTTGGATTTCTTGTTTTGTATGTGTTTGTAGCAAGTGTAGGTTTTAGTATTGGTTTCCAAAAAAGCAAGGTGTTTCCTTAACGCGGTGTAGTTATAAAGCTGCTGCTGCTACTTTTGCTACTTTTTTTTTTGGTTTTCTATTCGAAATGTTTAACGATGATGTTGTTGATGAAAATACGCACGCGACTCTTTTCTGAACTTGTTGTTGTTTTTGTTTTCGTTCACAATTTCCACTAGTTATTTGAAAATATGCTCTTATATGCTTTTTATATGCTCTCCTTTTTAGAGCACTATGGGAAAGTTGTTGTGCTCTCTTTTTCCGAAAAGGAGAGTTTCGACAATATCTGAATTTGTTTGATTTGTGTGAGTAGTTGTTGTTGCTGCTGTTGTTGTGGGTATGAAAACCACAGGAATACTTGAAACGCCGCGCGTTTGTTGTGTTGCTGCTCTCAATTCAACTTGAATCCAATTAAACCGTGACATGAGAATTGTTTCATTTGTATGAGTAGTAAAATGGGTTTAGATACAATTCAAAGATATCGAAACATTTTCTTTTTTTTTTTTTTTTTTTGCTACACTTTTTGTTTTTTTTTTATATTTTACTTTCTTTCATAAAATTTACTTTAGCTTTTTTTGCTTATTTGTAAAATATAATTATTCTTAACAAACACTCAAATAAATTTTTAATTTAGATTTTGTTTTTCAAAAAAATAACCGTATTATAGTATAAATACAACTTTTCTTTTTTTTTGTTATATTGTATATGCTGTTGTTGTATAAATTTAGAGTATAGGGAGGGCAGCGCGCACCAGGTGTTTTTTAAGGGTACACAAAATTTTGCATTTGTGTGTTTTTTTTTCATTCACTTCTCACGAAAAAGGAAAATTTTGTAATTTTAAATTTTTGACCAAAGACAAATAGAATTTTTACATTTTTAAATAATTTTCGATTTTCTGTTAATATTTTCACAACTTTGTTATAAACACTGTAGATTTGTTAATTTATTTTTCTTTTGAAATTTTAATTTATTTAATTGTTATCTCTCAGGTTCAGCCAAGTTTGTTTAAAACACTTTTATTTAATAATTCTTTTAATTATTAACAATTTTCTTGCACTTTATTATAAAAGAAAATTAGAGTATGTTGAAGATTTTCTTTTACATATAAGATTTTAGTTTCTTTCTTTTTTCCTTCTTGTTTTTTTTTTTTTATTTTAAAATATGTAGTGTTTCAGGTTCTTGGTTTAGTAGAGTATTTATTATTAATAAAAATAATTTTCAGTGATGTGTTGTTACGGCTGCCTAAGTTCAATGTCTACTACCTATCTGACGACTGCAAGAAATTACAATTTACTTACATGCTCGACAGCCAGCCAGAGCCGTCTATTCATCGAAACATCCAGTCTGTCAGATTTTTTTCTCCCGCTCTTTCGCTCTCCCTTTCTCTCTGAGTACATTTTTATTGTATTGCAATCTTTTCCAATCAACCACGTTTGTTTTTGTATCTTATAGATTCGTATTTGAGGGTGATAGAGACAACTGTATCTAATGGATTGTTTTACTTCCCGTATTTTGGTTCTCTTTGAGAACGGCTCCCATTTATGGCAGAGAGTTAACAATAGACTCTTTGGTTTCTATGCTCTTGTTTTTATCATCGCTGTTGTTGTTGTCTTATGAACTTTGTCAATTCCAATATTGATTTTTCCCAACAACAGTGCTACGGTGGAGATCAAAATTATAGCAGTAGAAATAAAATAAATCCCCTAAGGGAATTTTGTGTCGTTTGTATTAAGCTTACAAGACTTGAACTAAACTAGAACTGAACTAAGCTAGAACTGAACTAGAACTGAACTAGAACTGAACTAGAACTGAACTAGAACTGAACTAGAACTGAACTAGAACTGAACTAGAACTGAACTAAAACTGAACTAGAACTGAACTAGAACTGAACTAGAACTGAACTAGAACTGAACTATAAACTGAACTAGAACTGAACTAGAACTGAACTAGAACTGAACTAGAACTGAAACTAGAACTGAAACTAGAACTGAACTGAACTGAACTAAACTGAACTAGACTGAACTAGAACTGAACTAGAACTGAACTAGAACTGAACTGAACTGAACTAGAACTGAAGACTAGAAAACTGAACTAGAACTGAACTAGAACTGAACTAAACTGAACTAGAACTGAACTAGAACTGAACTAGAACTGAACTAGAACTGAACTAGAACTGAAACTAGAACTGAACTAGAACTTGAACTAGAACTGAACTAGAACTGAACTATAACTGAACTAGAACGGAACTAGAACGAACTAGAACTAGAACTGAACTAGAACTGAACTAAGAACTGAACTAGAACTGAACTAGAACTGAACTAGAACTGAACTAGAACTGAACTAGAACTGAACTAGAACTGAACTAGAACTGAACTAGAACTGAACTAGAACTGAACTAGAACTGAACTAGAACTGAACTAGAACTAGAACTGAACTAGAACTAGAACTGAACTAGAACTGAACTAGACTGAACTAGAACTGAACTAGAACTAGAACTGAACTAGAACTGAACTAGAACTAGAACTGAACTAGAACTGAACTAGAACTGAACTAGAACTGAACTAGAACTGAACTAGAACTGAACTAGAACTGAAGTAGAATTGAACTAGGTCTGCCCTCACATTGGTTTATTTTAAATTATCAATTCTAAATTCTGTCAAAATCGATTACGTTTTCGAGAACATCTACAATAATTTTGACCAACAGTGTAAGTCTTGGATTTGATTTCAGTTTTTTTGGTCAACTTAAAAACACAAAGATTTTACACTGATACTCCAAACCAAGAGGATAGGGGGGAAGAGACTAAAAACTCTACAACAACACAAAAAACGACCCAACACAGTCGGCCTTTAGGCAAGTTGATGGTCGTCTTAAAAATACACAAAGAAGCGGCAAAGAAACGACAAAACGAAAGCAAACGTACACAAGACGAGTATTAAATTAAATGAATGGACAGACGGATGAATAGATGGTTGGATGGACGGACGTATCAACAAACAAATAAACAATCAAAGAAATAAAAACGCATTTATGATTAAAACACCGACCAAACGACCCAACAAACGCCCAACTGTTTAGTGGAAATTGTAGAAGAATCTGATTTTTTGTTTTAATTTCTAGAAACTAGTAAATAAAAACTGTAATATCTAAACTGAAGTGTGTTTTTAATGTGTTTAATAAAATACATATTTAGTACAGAAAACAAGAAAACTATTTTGTTCGAAAAGTGGTGGTCAGTGAATCTCACAAACAACAGCAACTACAATAACAACATTAGCAGTGGCGGTAGCAGCAACAAGAGAAAAAAATTCTGATGATCAACATTCATCAGAATCATTAAAAAATAAACTAAAGAAATAAAAATAAAAACAATTTTAAAGAAATGTTGTTTTTTATTCGTTTTAATTCACACAATTTCCTCATGGTTGTTTAAATTGTTGCTTTTGTTGTTTTTGTGTTAATAATGTTGCTGTTGTTTTGATTTCTCAGAAGACTACAACTATTGCCACAGCAGAAAAAAAAACTGCAGCAAAAAAAATAACAAGAAATTCTTTCTTACTCTATTACAAGGAATTGAAGTGAACTGAATAATGAACGTTGACGACTAAGAGAACTTGTACATACAACAACAACGTTGACAACGAGGACGAAGTCGATGTTGCAAACAACGACATCCATCCCATCATCCTTCTCATAAACAATCATGTCGCATGTCGTTTATTTGAATGTATGTACGTGTGAGTGTGTATCTCTGTGTGTTTGTCAAATGTATGTATGTTTGTGTTTATTTAACATCATACACCATGCAAAAACAAAAACCACAAAGCTTTACGCCCTTTTGTCTGACTTCTGGTTGCCTTTTTTGTTCATTTTGTAATTCGTTTTTTTGTTTATGTTGATCTCTTTTGTTGTTGTTGTTGTTGTTCTGTTAAATATTTTATTCATTTCAATTCAGACAATTTGACACAAGGCCTTAAATTTACACTGTGTGCATCATTTAAACACATACTATGTACGAATGGAGCAAAAAAACCATTGCGATGGCAATTGTCAAAAGTCCTTTCAATGAGTTTATCTTTAAAATTTCGTCCTCATCATCTTCTATCTTCTAATGCGAAATTAAATATTCGATCGAATTTCAGAAATAAAAATGTGCTCTAAAGTTGTTGTTATTTACACCACACTAAGAAGCAATCATTGCGAAATTACGGAAAATGTATCTTAATTCTTCACAGCAGTTCCTTTTGTCCAATAAAATATTTAAGAATTGAACAGAACTGAACTAGAACATAACTGTGGCTACAACGAAGAAGTGTCGAAAATGCTGAGAAATTTTATAATTTTATAGGAATTTTTTCAAAAAATAACTTTACCTCCCAACCTCGTAATCACTAGTAGCATCAAGTAGTAGTACAAAAAAGTAAATGTTTACAGACACATACCATTCAAACAACAACAAAAATAAAAGACCAGAAACCTACCGACCGAACAACCAACCAACAGTAACATACAAACAAACAACATAAATAAATACTTAGGCTGTGGCATTTGGCTGCCCCTTATTAACTTTTAATTTCTTACATTTTTATTTCGTTTCTTTTGATTTTATTATTTTTTCTTTACTTTATTTTTGTCAATTCCAGTTTTTTTGCTGTTTATTTAATTTTTTGTTTAATGTTGCTTTAACAGGTCTTAAAGTCAAAATATCTATCTCCCCTGTTCACATCAGACAAAGCATCTCAACCAACACACACTGAATACTATACAACATTTATACTCTTCTTTTGAAGAATACGATGACAACAATAATCCAGAACCAGCATCTCTCATTCTAGGCTGCAACAACAGCATTTATTGTTTATTGATTTGTTGTTTAGTTGACATCATTCGAAAAAAAAGTAGCGAGAACAAAAATGAAAACAACTACATACTACATGCAAGACAAGTATGACAATAGTAACAACAACTACAGCAAAAGTAATGAAACAAATGTTTGCATTCGGATTTTGGCAATTGTTGAAACGCATTTATACGATAGTTGAGTACAGAAAACTAGCACAAATATTTCTGCCAATAGGAATTAATTTGAAAGTTATCGAGATTTTGAAATAACTATCTCGTAACTGAATTAAAACTGGTCTAGAACTGAATTAAAACTAGAACTAGATATGATACCTACAGCATGAGTATATTTTAAAAATTATTTATTTTTCAAAAAGAAACTTTTATGTTGAATTTTACCTTAATTCCGATGTATTTAAGCAATTTATTGATAAAAACAATATTTCTAAAAGAGGCTTTATATGGGAGTTAGGGTCAAATATGGGCCGATCGCCAACAAATTAGGAGGAGGAATGTATTTTTATATAAAAGTTAGTTATGCTGAATTTTATCGCTATACTAATGGTTATAAGTCAATTTTTGGACATTCAAGTTATTTTTTAGAGGGGGGTTTGTTTGGGGGCTAGGGTCAAACAACGGCCGATCATTATAATAATCGGCATGGCCATTTATTCCTATATAAAACTTAGTTCTATTAATTTTTGGAGAGATAGTAGTATATAAAGACGTAGTTATGTTAAAACATCCATATCGGAAAATCAGGTTGTATGGAGGCTAAGTAAAATAATGGACCGATTTCAACCATTTTCAATAGTCCTTGTGCCGGAAATCACGTATGGTCCAAATTTTATCAATCATGAAAATTCTGTAGCTTGCGCACAAGATTTACATGAACAGCCAGACAGCCGGACAGACGTACGGACATATCTTAACTGACTCAGAAAGTGATTCTGAGTCAATCGGTATATTTTAAGGTGGGTGTAGGACCAATATTTTTGTGCGTTACAAACATCAGCACAAACGTATAATACCCTTCCCACTATATTGGTATAGGGTATAACAAGAACTCGTCTAAAATGAAACACTTCAGAAAATGTTGCAGTTGTGCTATTATACTTTGATACACTGTCATTGTGAGTTCACATATGAATGTCACTGTCGCAGTTATAGTTTGTTTTATCAATGCTTACTCATGATTTTTTTTCTTTTGCATTGTTTTTGTACATAAGTTGTTGGCTAATTTCTTAAAATCCATAAGATATAATGACTGCCTGAATGTACATATTTATTCATACTGTTTTATTATTTATTTGTATTTATTCTACACTGACTCAGGTTTTTGTTTATTTGCTTTTTCGTACAAAATATGTCATCGTTTTTGAGCAAAATTAACATTAACCGACTCCCTTGCTCTCTCACACACTGCATGTATTCATTCCATTCTCACAAGATCCGTCCGTCCGTCCA